TTAGGGGTTGGAAGAGACCTCAAAACATCATTTAATTGGGATTTTCGGTTCATGTGCTATTAAAAAACAAAAAACTACATAGAAGGTAGTCATGCAAACTATTCCATTACTGGCAGCTCAATCTGTAAATAAGGCAATTTTGGAATAAATCCAAAATGAGCATGAGGGGAAAGGTATTGTTGGATAGTGTAGTGAAATGGAATGAGGTTTTTCACCTTAGGGATTATTTGCTGAAAATAGCGGATGTCCTACCATTAAGCTAAAACATAACATGTTTAAACATCCTTCTACCTGCACATGGAAGTGCCTTATTTCAAGGTCTTGGGTCACTGAGGTGTCACGTTATAGCTACTTCTGAAAGAAGGACTTGTAAAAAGAAGGAGGAAAAAAAAAAGGTAAAATACAAATATTTTTTGCAAAGTTATTGTTATGAGTCTATTTGTAGCTGTAACAACTTTAAATAAAGTTTTGTAAGGCTTACTTGTAGATAGTGGGAGGTAGATTTCCTAGTTGTGGAAAGGTGACAGTAAATGACAAATCAGACTTTGTGTGTAACATTCACATGGGGATGTTAAACAGAAGAAGCAAGGAGTGGAACGTGGAACAGGAGGAAGCAAAAATGTGTGTGTATACATACATGCATATAGGTGTGCCTATATATAAAAAAACATTTAAAAAATAAATGGAGGAGCCAGACACTACTACTTCTCCACATACATTTTGTCCTTTTCCAGGATAAAAGTGAGATGAGTTGAAACTGAAAGTTATGACTGATGGAGAAAACTGTTTACCAAAATGTTTGAGAGCTGATGTGATCTCTCTGAGAAACAGGATAATGCCAAGTTGATTCTCCACAGATAGCGTAGAGAGATTCTCATAGATGTTGTCATGTTGACTACTGCTATATCTGGCATCTTACAGCTTATCCACAGAAAAAGCCAAAATTTCATAATGGATTACTGGCTGTGTTACATCAGAGGGTAGGCCAGGAGAAGAGTGGGTGATTAAGTCTACCTCTCAGCAACTTCTGAAGTTATTTATCTTACAAATCCTTAGTAGCTTCTGTCTAGTGTTCTTCTGTTGCTTGTGCCCAGAATGCTTTGCCTGAATTCGGTTGGCTGAATTACTGTATTTAACAGGCCTTGCCGCTCCCTGTGTGTGTTTGGATTTGTGAGCAGCGGTGCTGAGTGTGGCTTTGGTTGCTGAATGTTTATTCTGCTTTTCTCACTGCTTCTGTTCAGCAGCATAAAGGGTGCAGGCTTAATTGCCATTCTGAATTGCCTCTGCTTACCTTGCAAATACATGTTTGAAAGTAAGAAAAGCAGATCACCAATCATGCTTTTGTAATTGTAATACGAAAAGCTTTCTACAGTTGAATTTCACTTGAGGTTACCTCCAGTTTTTCAGAGGTATTTCCACTCTCATCTGGTGTTCAAATCTTATGTTCTCTTCTTTTTGATTTAGACTTTTTCTTTGACCCGGACGAAGTCTAAATTTGCTACTAACTGCGTATCTCTGTAGGTTGAGGTCCTGGCCCTGTAGAGGTCAGTGGAAGATTTTACGATTATTCTAATAGAATCAGGATTCTGGTAGCCTTGGATACCTCCTCATATTTTCACCTAATGCACTGGCAAAACGATTGTCTAATGCCAGTCCTCTTGCAGCATGATTTCTTTGTTTCTCTTGAAGTGAAACCATCCCTTTAAAATGGCCCAAAATGGCTTTGCTCGAGGTTGCTTTGTCATGTTACAGTCTGTTCCTTTAATGTATTCCTGTGGTGCCTTCTCTGTCCAAAGGTCAGATATACACGTGCCTTGATTTTTGTCTTCAAAACTTTTTTTAGCTTGGCCCTGCCTTGGCTGTTTGTTCCAGGTTTGTGTCTCCTTTTTTTTTCCACTGACAGTGCCAACTTTAGCTTTCTGCTTATGAGCTTTCCCCAAATCTGCTTTCTGCACGTAAGGAAAAATTGACAGAATCTGTGAAATCACCGTTGGAATATTCAAGATCCTTTTTTAGATCTCACCTTTGCTGTAACACATACAGAAAACCACCATCTGCTAAGGAGGTAGTGAGAGGTAATTGAGGCAGGTGGCTGCAGATGGTATACAAATGTGGTACAAGCTACATTTGTTACCCTGGTTTTTATTTTCTTGCCAACACACCAACTCCTTTTGCCCCACTGTACGCGTTGTTTTCAAAGTAGTTCTTTTCAACAGAGTTGTTGCTAACTATATGCCTCTTATTTGACATCACATCCCTGTCCGATTTGTCTTATCTATCTTTCTATCTGTCTGTCTATCTATCTATGTAATCTGAGTGATTTGTAACAACATATGATATATCCTGAACATGAATTTCACCTAGCTGGCATGTGGTAAGGTGCCTGTTCACTGATTCCCACAAAATAGGGATGTGGAAAATTCAGTTTTAAACAAGTGTCTACTGTGGCTGGTAAGATGGAACAAAGGAATTTTTTTTTTTTTCTAATAGGTGAGCTGCCTGCCTTTTGATTTATCTGCAGTCTTTTTCTCTGCATTGTACTCTGTGTCTTTGTGAACTTGTGAAATAGAAATCTGTGCTCTCCATCATACAAATGCCATATTTTAAAAGCTTCATTGCCATGGAATGTTTTGGGTTGGAAGAGACCTTTAAAGCCCAACTAGTCCAAACCCCTATTTTCAACTAGGTCAGGTTGCTCAGAGCCCCGTCAAAACTGACCTTGAATGCCTCCAGGGATGGGGCTTCTACCACCTCTCTGGGCTACCTCTGCAAGTGTTTCATCAACCTCACTGGAAAAAATGTCTTCATTATGTCTAATCTGAATCTACCCCATTTTAGTTTAAAACCTTTACTCCTTATCCTTTTGCAGCAAGGCCTAGTAAAAAGTCTTTTTCCAACCCTTTTTATAAGTCCTCTGTGAGTACTGAAAGGCTGCCGGATGGTCTCCCTAGAGCCTTCCCCTCTCCAAGCTGAACAACCTCAACTCTCACAGCCTTTCTTCATAGGAGAGGTGCTCCAGCCCTTTGATCATTTTTGTGGCCCTCCTCTGGACCCGCTCAAGCAGGTCAACGTGCTTTTTATGCTGGTGGTCCCAGAGGTGAACACAGAACTCCGGTGAGATCTGATGAGAGCAGAGTAGAGGGGAAGAATCGCCTCCCTTGACCTGCTGGCCATGGTTGTCCTGATGCAGCCCAGGGTGTGATTGGCTTTTTGGGCTGTGAGTGCATGTTGCTGGCTCATATTCAGTTTTTCATCTGCCAACACCCCTAAGTTCTTCACAGGGCTGCTCTCAATCCCTTCATCCCCCAGCTGGTTTTGATACTGGGGGTTGCCCTGATCCAGGTGCAGGACCTTGCACTTGGTCTTGTTAAGCTTGGCACGGACTCACCTCTCACGTCTGTCCAGGTCCCTCTGGACCACATTCCTTCCCTACAGCGTGTCCACTGTGCCACTCAGCCTAGGTCTGCAAACTCGATCCCACTGTCTGTGTCACTGATGAAAATAGTAAACAGCACTGGTCCCAGTACAGACCCCTGAGGGACATTGTGGGGAGCTGCTGTTCTGTCTCGTTCAGAGAGTAACATGATGCTTTGAACTGAGATTGCAGAAGGTCCTGAATGAAAAGTGCAGGTAGAGTAAAAACTTGAAAATGTTTATCTGCTGTGGTCTTGGTCTCGTTATTGTACTTAGAAGCGTGCTGTGTTAGATTATGTTTCAGAGTTATTTGTGGATTATCTTAGTTTTCACTTTTTGCTAGTAACCTTAAAAGGTTCACTTAAAAGATTTCTAAAAAAATAATAATTGTGAACGCAGATCATTGCTGGAGAGTTTGAATCATTAGCTTAATTCTGCTGTTTTTGCAGGACTTCAAGAATATGTTGAGGCAGTCTCATTTCAGTATTTTATCAAAACACGATCTTTGATTAGTGTTGAAGAGATCAACAAACAACTAATATTTACAGCAGAAGACAGAGAAGAAACAACAAACACGGTAAAAAATTTTCTTTTTTCATGTGACAAACATCTTTCTGGGATGGAAATGCAATGAGTAGCCTTAGTCACACTTTTGGCATCTGATTAAATAAGGCCGGTTCATGGAATGGTGTTAGATGTACCTGTGGGCTTTGACTCACTTTTTCAAAACATGCTTTTTATTCTGACAAGTAGTAAACTAAATCTGTGGGATACAAGTTTATAAATTTCACATCCTTTTTATTCAAGGCAAACTGAGCTCCTCCTGGTAGGGGGAAAGATCCAGGATAGTGAAATACTAGCAAACTAGTGTAGGGGAGAGATTTTTAATGGCCAGGGCTGCCTGTAAGGCCTGCTGCTGTGTATATATATATGTATATATAGCAAAAGTTGGGAGAGACAAACAAATCCAAGGCAGGGTGAGTTCCATGCCTGAAATTTTACTGCTGATAGTGAAAGAGTCACAGGAGGTGCTGTATTCAGCCTCTGTGCAAAAGCACAGGTTCTGTCTTAGCTTGGTCATTGGTAACCTTCCCAGAGTGGATCTTGATGCTTCCTCGCAGAGGACGAGCTTGTGCCCCATCACACCTTAGCCCTAATACTGTGTTTGCCGTTACTTGATTTGCCCACTCGCACCCTGCCCTAAATAGAACTGTTTGCATTGGGACAAATTGCTGCCACCAACCACAGTAAATTGGGTAATTTGGTTGTTGACGGGGTCGAAACCCAATTTTGTGGTAATGAAGGGCACATGCAGTGCACATGCAGTGTATGGTAATGCACAGCACTGCTGCTTTAGATGAACTCCTGAGTCTGCTTCTGTTGAAGAGACTCTGCTCTAAAGAACTTCTTATTCTTTATTTACTCTCTTGGTATAAGATACTTTCAAAGAAGCCATAAAATTTATTTGTGCTTACCAGAGGCAAATCCATTGCGGCACACTTATTTTAACAAACTGTGACGCTGTTAACCCCTGCATATGTGCTTCTGACCAGATTTGTGAATTTGGCTGGATAGCATATGATGGGAACAAGGGAACAGAAAGAAACCTGTGTTGCCTTCCATGTTGCCGATATTTTGGCAATAAAAAGTATTGGAAGCTTGGATGTAGGAGCAAACTTTTAACTTTGAGATGGATTTTCTTCATGAAGTATTTTTTAAGCCATTTTAATGAATTCAGTTGATATAAAATGGATCCGACAGAACTACACCTATAAGCTTCTTCTAGAAAATAACATTTTGAAAATCAAGATACTATCACAGAATTATATAATTTGGTTTTATAATACAGACTCTTTGATTCTTGATTGCTTTGGAAGCTTTGGACAGACCATTTAGGGAAAGTTTAAATCTGTTAGGCTGAGATCTGTTAGCCAAAAAAAAAAAAAAAAGGCAACTGGAAATAAATGTTGGTACAAAGATGTGATAATTCTGTTTGTAAATAGAGATGGTAGGAGCGGGGTGTGTTTATCTTGCTTGCTAGAATGAAAATTGCATCTTGATTGGAAATGATGCTTTCATACCTTCTGGTATGCTGGAAGGAGATTAGTGCTTCTGAAGTCAGACTGTGTGAAAGCACTGTGCAATTTAATTTTCCCAAATGTTTTTAATTACCAGTTAGATCAGTTAGTGTGTATTTGAGTCTTCATTGACTGCTTTCTCAGAGTTCTCTGTATTGGACTTCGTTGTCTTCTGTCCACAGACCTCCAATTCCCGTGAGAAACGGCCACACACTTGGAGCCTGAAGGTGACACCCGTAGATTACCTGCTGGGAGTGGCCGATCTGACTGGAGAGCTGATGCGGCTGTGCATCAGCAGCGTTGGAAATGGTGACATAGACACACCTTTTGAACTGAGCCACTTCCTACGTCAGATTTATGATGGTTTTACTTTCATTGGCAACACTGGACCTTATGAAGTGTCTAAGAAGCTGTACACCTTGAAACAGAGTCTGGCGAAAGTAGAGAATGCCTGCTACACGTTAAAAGTACGGGGATCTGAAATCCCAAAGCACATGCTGGCTGATGTGTTCTCTACTAAAACAGAATTGATTGACCAAGAGGAGGGTCTTTCTTAAAAAAAGGACACTGTTGCAGCTCTGGTGGGAAGAGGACTTAGAGAAAGCTCTTTAGTTATGGTTTTGTGGGGTTTTGACCCTTCTCAAAGCTTTTTAGGTAGACACATTTTTAGTTTTATCTGAGAAGATTGTTTGCAGTGGTAATTTGTAACCAAAAATACTTTTTATAACGTGCAAGTGAACAAATGTTTGACTTTTACATCTCGGTATGGAATTTCCTGTATTGCTCCATTTTATCTTCCTTCAGAATGACCAAAATTTCCAGTGTGCTCTACACCAGTGACTGTCAGTTGTGTGAGTCACCTTAAACTGTTGTGGTTGATGTTATCAGTTCTTAGGAAGCACAGCAGTGGGGAAGAAGAAAAAAGTGGTTAAGTACTGTTATTTAGCATTATTCATAAGTTTCTACTGATCTGTTTTCTGAGTATTTGGATTCTATACTTATGTCATACCTAAATCAATGTACCTGTTTATCTATAAGTACATGCCTTGACTTGAAATGGAGATGGTCTCAAAGGTGCTATCTAACGTAAGTTTTGTCTGGTTTATGCTTTTAAGCATGAAACTGAAGCTGAGTCAACTTCACCAATAGATAATGAAGCTAATTGTACCAGGTAAATACCACTGTGCGCTTGTTATTTTGGGGTTTAAATTGAGTTCCATTCAAGTTAACACTAGTCCTTCACAGTTTTGACATGAGCTAGAAAATCCACAAAAAATAATAATTGTGGAATGTACTGGTTCACACTTTTTTGTATTACAGTTAAATGAGAATGTGACATCTTTTTGTTTGTAGGCAAAAGCAGAAGACCTACCAAGTACGTTTAATGTGAATAATTCAGTGTTAGGGCAAGCAGATTTTGGCCAAAACAAAGGCAGTGTGGCGTTGGAAGTGTGTTCTCCAGTGTTTGTGCTGCCCTTACGACTTCCCCTGGGGTTGAATTGGTATAAGTGAAAAAGGGCTGGCCAAGCTTTTTAAATATCTGTTAGCAGGAACTATATCATGTGCATGTTCCTATGGAAAGGAAACTGCAAAAAGAAATAAGGCAGACATTCTGACTTCCACGTAAATTTATCTTTGAGGTGGGTATGTCACCATTGGCAAAAAATCAGGGTTTTCTGACGGTGTCTGAAGTTATGAAAGTCTGATAATGTACATTATGCTAAAGGAAAACAGATAAAACAACATGATCTTTAGCCTCCAGGAAATAGGCCTCCCAGCTGCAATTGAAAATACTGCATGTTTTTTTTATTTCCACTTCCATACGCTATGATACTGCCAATATTTTTCCCATGAGCACGTCCTGAGTAGCTGGGATCATCTGATACATGGATAGGAATGGGTAAATACCTTTCTGTCACATTTTTCCATTGTTTCCATGGAAAGCAATATGTGGGGGGGGTTGAACAAGGAGTGGCTTTTTCTCCTACTGTTTAATACTGGTTTTTTACAATAAATTCCAAAAAGCAGTCATGGCCTGTACATTGGTCCTTCTGCCAGTCGGTCCCAGCGGTACATAATAGTTCGAGTTTCCCACTGTGCAGGACTTGGAAGTGTCACTCCATTCCTGTATTCATACTTTGAGGGGCATTTTCTAATCCTGAATCTCTTTTTTTTCTTTTTCCTTTTATTCTGCAAAGTCTAAAAACTAGTTAGGGTAGAAATTTTATGTGATCCTCTTAAATTAAAAAAATGCGAAGGATTCAGATGACAAAAGAAGTTTATCGCTGGAATAAATCTGCAACAGCACACACATTTTTACATCCCTCCTTGGTTTTTGCCTCCTTTTCTTTCTGATGAGAGGAGGGGAAAGCAAGGAGAAGGATACTTATTATTAAGGAATGTTGTTTGTTTGGTTTTCCCCAGAAATTTATGCATCTAGTTTCAGTTGCTGCAGGTAAGGCTATAGTTCTATATCTTTCGGCACAGCTAAATTTTCTGGAAGTAATCGCTTGAGTGTATGTTTGTGAAGCAAAAGCAAAAATTATTAGAGGGATCACGGGATGTTAAACAGAGGTCTGTCTCTCGTCTGTCTTAGCAGCTGTCAGGTGGATTTTTAAAAATTTTCAGGCCACTGGTTCAGTCAAGCAGCTCCTGCTTTTGTACAGTCATTATTTTAAAATTAAAGATATCTAAAAAGAGTATTTTTTCCTAGCAGTCTTTATACTTAGACGGTCTTTCAAAACATACATACTGGGATTTAAATTTTTTTAGGAAGGCAAGAGAAGATTTATTGTATATTTTTAGTAACAGATGGGATTTCTAAATGTCAGGCTGCCTGCCCATAATCAAAAGCTGCGAGTAATTTCTGATAGGGAGCAAAGTGTATGTATGATGCATTAAAACACCAGCACAGATGGGAAATAGCTAATGGCCTGCAAACCTCCTGCTCAAGGAAATATTTTCCCCAAAAAACAATTACACTGTAGCTATTTGAAAAGTGACAGACATTTATCAGCAAAACAAGCTGCTAAACAAGCAATGGCAATTTTCCCATTTCTTGTCCCATTACTCTTTGGAGCTATTGATACGCTTGGTCTGCAGCCAGGACAGGACTACGTCATGGCAGATGTTTCATGAGGGCAGCTCTGCGTGCTAAACATCAGCTGCCTTTCTAGAATCTCCTTTCTTCAGAAATGAGTCTTCTTTATGGGTTCACTTTTGTCCTGCCTGTTATTTCGCAGTGAGCAAAAAGAAACCCAACCACATCTAGCTTTCCAGAAGTGCCAGAGAAGTTATGCAAAAGAAACTTCCTGTTGACCGGACGTGTATGTCTGTCTACTTAGAGTCCTGCTTGCTTGGATTTTCAGGGAGTTTTTACTGAAAATCCCAAAGCAAAAAGGTTAAAACAGAACCTTTTATAGTATTTAGCATATTAGGTGCCTTATGGAACCCTAGGCATCAGTCTAGCACTGCCCTCCAAGAGTTTGCAATTTAAGAGTCGGCAAAAGAAATAGCCAAGACAAACGAAAGATGATAGAAAGGTGAGGGGAGGAGGTGGTGGAAATGAAGTGACAGGATTTTTACTAGAAGACTGCGTAGTAATAGGTTGGTTTACTACTTCCCATTTTGGAAAAGAAATTAGTCAAAGCTTCAGGAAGTTTGAAGTGTGACAGTAAAGGGTTAGGTGGGAAGGGAAAGGGCATTGGAGAGGCAAAATGGAAGGAAGTGAGGTAGAGACAAAGGGGGGAAGAGCATTGAGGAGTGGGGCAGCGTGGAGGAAGAGCAGGCTGGGCTGCAGGACAGTGGGTACACATGCGGGTGGGGTGGGACTGGGGAGGACATGGGACAGGAAGACAGCCCTGCAAGAAGTTGGAAACAACACTTTGAAACCAGGTGACTCAGCTATAAGAGACCTGGAGGTGACCATAGGAACTAGATTTAAAATAACCTCAAGGTCCCCAAAGTATCTGTCTATCCTTGGGTCATAAATAAAGGGAACTTGATTTTCGGAGCAGCTGAGAACCAGCAGGTCCTGACCTGAGCAGGGCTTGCAAGCTTCCAGCTGTGCTGTCCTAAATCAACAAGCTCTCAGCTCCCATTCCACCCAGCTTCCCATGCACGCTCCCTTCGCTCCCGTACTGGTAGCCACAAACCTTGATGGGTGAACTACCCCCATTTGCAGCTGTTAGATGCAGGATTAGATAGAGTTCTTAACATAAAGGAATGCTTACGGTAACCAGTGTTTTCCCCTTGTGTGCTGTTTACGTGTCCATTTTGCTGTCAGTGCTGCTTCAACCCACTCTCTGTTTCTTCCCTTTCTTTACTTTTCTTAGGCCGTACAGTCCTTTTGAGCCATTGCCCGTGTCCATCCGTGGTTTGATGTTTTCCGTGTTTAGCTGGAATCCTGGGGTAAATGCGTCTCCATGCGGGAAGAGGAATTGGCTGGTTTCTTAGGTAGGTTTCTCTACCTGAACCTCCAAATTTGGAAACGGTTCTCTGGCAGTGAGGGGAGAGGTCTGGTACTCCTGCACTTAGATAATACCTGGTGCGTGTGTCCTGCGGCAGCCATGGTGCCGTGTGTCAGGATGGATGGGTGGGCAGACCTCGTGTTGCTTTTGCAGGTGAGCAAACCTTAGTTATTCTCATGTTTGCAGTCATCACGAGCCAAGGTAAATTGCCTACAAACATAAAGAAGTTTCACGTCCAGTTCTGAGGAAGGTTGTCATTGAGGAGGATTATTTCCAACCTACTTTATCTCTTTTTACCTGACCCGTTATCCCTTTGAAAGGCCTGTTTGCAGAATGTAGCAGAAGAGACTTGCCTATGACTCCTGGAGCCAGTCAGTGCTTCCCACTGTGTTCAACACTGGCTGGCAATGATGTGATGGCTGCTTTCTCAGCTCCTCCCACAGGCTGGGCAAGCTGGCTCTGGTGTCCCTCTGGCCACCCAGGAGGGGCTGAACTCTGAGCCTCTGCTACTGATACTATTGGATTTTGCAGACCAGTGAGATGTGGACTTTTTTTTTTTTAACCCTAGTGGTGGTGTTTTCATGCCATGCAGATGTTCGTTTATCCCGAAGAAAGACGCTGTTGTGTATGTGCTGCTCCTCCAGTGCCACAACAGGTCAGATGAATTCTTGAGCCCATCATAAACTGTTTCTTGGCTACGAGTGCAGTGCAGGTTGCATCATCTGTCTTTGGGCACTTCTCCCATAGCTCCTGTGCTTTTCCTGCAGCCTTTCAAGTCCTTTTTAATCCAGAAGGGTCCTACCACTTCCATTTAATTCTTTCTCAAAGTCCTCTCTGATAGCCCCAGCAAGAAGAGCTGACAAAACTAATCTGGAAATAGCCCAGGTTGTTGTCTGCCTGGGGACAGAAACCAGGTGAGCGAAGGATGCACTTGAATAGACAGTCCTGCGTCTTTTCATGTCGCAGGGATGTTGCTAAGTGCTGGCATTCTCATGTTGAGAGGGAGTGAAGGTTATTTCTCTCCTTGCAGCAAGGACTGCTGGCAGGCGTGTTTTGCTTTGCACCTAAAGGGACGGGTGACAGACTGAAGGTGCCAGGGCCCCGAGGGAAAGTGACCGTAAAGTCGCACAGCAGCAAATCCCTTGGGAGCGCAGCTCTCCCCACTCCCAGCCCAGCTCCTGCTGCTGCCAACTCAAGCTGCTTCCGCTCTCCGGAGCCTGCTCAGCAGAATCACTTTTCCCCCTCAATCCTTTATCCATTTACTGAGCTGCGAGTAGGTTTGCACTGGCCTACTGCCCCCTCGCAGGGCTGGACGCATGCTGACACCTTGTGGTGCAAAACGTCTCCTTGACCCCTTCTTCCCAAACCTTTTTATTTCAGCC